TATAACTTTCTTTTGTTCACGAACCTGGCTCAGTGTACTGCTGACCTCTTTTCAATAGGGGCCAGATTAGCGTGCAGCGGTGCTATGTGGCTCATCGCTGTGGTGGTGGAGCGCTTTTGTCCCCGGTGTTAATCCGCTCACTCTCAATGCCCCAAACCCTGGTATACGATTTCAAAACAGGGCTGGATTATCACCACTTTTGAGAGCGAAAAATGTCGGTAATGCCCAACAGCCTGGTCTTTTGTTACAGGGCCGTGTTTCCTTTGTCCGAGTTCGGAGACCCCGGCCATGCATATAAACCATACGTCTCCGATTCCGGAGTCCCTAGCAGGAAGTGGTTAATATACAGTGACCTGTGATGGACTTGCAGGGGCTTGTGTTGCTCTCAACTATAGCCCTAGATGTAGTCAAGACTCTGTGAAGTCCATCGTAAGTCATTTACAGTCTATTAACTCTAAATAACAAGTTTGTCAAAGGACCTGTCTCATAGAAGCCTTCCTTTGTCATTGTTTATGTTCCTGTTATTTTGTCATGTGACTTGGTGATGCACTCAGCTGCCACTTTGTAAGCTGAGTCCGTCTTGACAAGTAAAGGAAATGAAGTTTATAGCTGAATAACAAAATAGTGCAGGTTTCAGGATGAAGTAAATTTATATCTGCTTCCAATCGTTTTTCCAAGTTTCACTGGTCTTTATGTTCATCAGGTTTTCAAGTGAATGTACATGTATCCCACATTCAATTCTGAAAGCACTTAAAATCCAAAATTTAAATGCAAATAGTCCAGAAATTTTTTTTTACTAAAAGGAAGTTCGAACCATCCCACCAGTGTGGTACTGCACTTTTGTATGTAACATATCGACACAGATGTTACTTTTTGCTTTCTTTATGTTCTATTAAAAGAAGTTCTTTTGCAGTAGGCAAGAAATGGATTTGTTTGTGCAAAAAATACTTGAATTTTTGAATAATTTTATGTGATTTTTGTCAGTGTACTTAGGCAACAATTCTGTGGAAGTAACTGATCCTGTATTCCTAATGTTTCAGCTGAGAATGACATTGTGTTTTAATGTAGCAATGTAATTTACTCGACTATTTTTCAAAAAAAAAAAAAGAATTCAAATGATTATTTTTTAAGAAAATAATGTCTTTTTAGGAGTGAACATGCTTGCTTGAAGAATGCCCAAACTACATGTTGGTTATGCAGGCTGTGTCTCCTTCCTTTCATGTAAATATGGAGTCAGTCGGTGGTTATTTAAATCTGGGGGGAATGGTGGACAATAAAGTGGAGAATGAGGAGGAGGGAGTACAGCCAGTGATCTTCGTTTTGTCTCGTCTTTTGTCGCTGAGGATGAGTGATTGTGCAACCGGTCTTTGCCAGGCAGTTATTTGAGATACATTGTTCTCTTTCCACAGGCATGGGCATGACATAGTTTATTGAATATGCTTTCATCTATACTAAATTATGGTAACTAGAACACTTTCAAATTGGACAAAGGCAGATGTCCACGAGTGATGAGTTACCGTTACCTTCGGTGAGCCTAAAAGCAGTGGCTTGTCAAGAGTGGCAGCCCCCTTCCTCCCCAGAAAATGTTTGTTTTTGAAAAAAACAGTGATTTGGGGAAGGGGATTTCAGTTCACTTCCTTCAAAAAGCATGTGAATATTTATATTTAGCCTCACCTCTCAGAATGGCCACAAGAGGCTTCCATCAAGAAATTTCTACACTTTGTGGCCCCATAGAACATTTTGCACACCTCCCTCCCCCCCCCAAAAAAAGGGGTTGTGGATCCAGGCCTTTTTTCCACAGTTGGTACCTGTACTTCAGTCTGCTAGTGTTGAGTGCTGTTCCCAAAATGCTTTCCCTCGCACTGCATTAGAGGCCAGTCACACAGTTGTGTATTTTGCCCATTTAAAGACTTTTCCATCTTGGGAGGCACACCCTTGATATAAAAGGCTGGAAAGATAACGGAGAAATCACACTTTTCTACCTGTTGATGCATACACCAACCTGTAACTTTTAACTATCAGTTTTGACTTAACTAAATAACTTGTGACTTGACTTGTGATTGGACCAAATGACTTGTGACTTGACTTGGACTGGCAAACACGGACTTGCTGCACCTCTGTGTGGTTGTAGGGATTGCTGAAACACACAAGCTGTAGTTACAAAAAACCTAATTGGGACAAATTTTGTCTAAACAACTTGGTCTCTTATTTCTCAGCAACAGATATTGTCCCCTCAGCACGGTAACAGGCTGGACAAAAAGAGCATGCTCAGCCGTCAAGCCAAGCTTCCATACTCCTCCTAGTGCCTATGTACATTATGTGATGAGCCATTACTGGGGATCGGTTCTTTTTTTGGCGGGGTCACTTTGTTGACTTCTGCCTGTCCCCAGCTATGATATAGTCATGCCCATCACCAGTCCTTATAAATTTCTGTCACAAGTTACAAGCTAATCAATGAACTTTAACATAATCATTCCTCCTATTGTTCGCGCTGCTACCTGTGACTGATCTTGTGAAAGAACTTGTCAAGGACTTGTGAGGGACTCAACTGAAACACTAGTCCCCCCCGACAAGCTGACAAGACAAACACATAAGCAACATTTTCAAAGAATGCCTGCACTGATTTTATTGGTATAAAAATTGAGATATCAGAAAACCAAAATTAGTCTCAGTCTATACAAACATCTTACAGCTAAACACTAATGTGAATGGCCCCTCAACTACATAATACAACATGTCCCAATGCTGATTTATCATTGGTCAAATCTTTGTCAATCCTTCAAATAGTCTTTTTCCAAACACATTTCGGCCTCCATTTTATCCTCAGTTCTGAAATCTCAGATCATCTTTGAAATACAACTTTATGAAATGTGAATAAATTCTTCTTTAAAATACAATACGAATCTTCCAAGAAAAAACTTTATTTACAAATATATATGCAGATTTTCTGATTCAAGCCCCATACTTGTGAAATATTTTTTTAATCTTTGAATAGCATAAAAAAATTAAGCTGAATACTGTTCATTAAAAAATTAATTACACATACATGTAGATCAGCCAAGGTACACCAAACAAACCTGAATATTCCAAAAAAAATTCATAAGGAGGAATAGGCCCCTTCAATTCTGGGAGTACATGTACTGGTGTCATAAATTTGGTAGAAATAGAATTTTAGCCAATTCTGTTCATTGTCAACCTGGATAAATAACACTCAATCAAATTTCAATTACCATCAAGCATGGTGAAATGATTAACCAACTGGGATCATTTCAAACAACAAACACTTGAATACAAAAAAAGAACATGCCATGTCAAAACATGTTCTATTTATTATTTCTTTGTAAGATAAATACATGTATTTTAATAAAAAAAACCTCTTTTTAAGTCCACTTGAGTTGCAGTACTTGTATTTAGTAGGTATGCCAACTTTCTGCATTGAGAAAAAAGCAAATCATGCAGTATGTGTCTGGCTTCGTATATGTAGGTTTTTAATGACATGCCTCACAAATTTGTCAGTACGTTGCACACTACCACATTTTCCGCTTTAGGAATGATACATGTATCATGTTGACCTATATCCGTCATCCACAGGACTGCATTTGGGCAGCAGAAGGGGAACTTCCAAGCTGCTCAAAATGCCTAGCATACTGCTGGAACCGATGCCCACTTTCCATGAATATCAGGTCCATTTCCAGGAACTGCACCGCTGTTATTATGCTGGCCAGGTTCATTTGCATGCACATGTGCAATGCGGCAACAGGACAGCCAGTGGAAAGTTTCGACTTGTGATATTTTGACCCAGCCCAGCCCCTCTTTCAGCCCACACTGCCGATTTCTGCACAAGTTACAGGAAGTCTTCTTCACCCAACAGCTAGATCAAAGTGGCTAGATGACTCCCTTGCGGGAGCGATGCATTAAGCATGTACACTGCAGCTCAAGTGGAAACACTTGCAGTCCTGTGGATTCAATGCCATCATTACCAAATTAGACATGTTTTGTCACTTCAGGAAATCATAATAGCTTCATTCTGTTCCATTTGGAGGATAGATTCCCATCGGGACCAATTTGAGAGTTGAGTCATAATCTATTCTGGTCCCAGGGAAATCCATTATCCAAGTCAGAATTATGAACAGCTCCAAAATGACACATGATCCCATCAGGGCATTTGAAGACAGCAGAACCAGGAGATAGCAATACTTTGGTAAGGCACTTATGCTGTTCTCTTTTGGTTTTAGCAAAGAGATCCTTTTTCTATCTGCTTTCCCTTTTCACAGTTGAGGGAAAAACAGATGGCTTAAAACACACACAGTACTTAAAAGCAACAACCATATTGTTCACTGGATTTTAGATGACATTGAGCAGTTGTATGAGCACAGCAGCAACCATAATGGAAACACAATAAACTGGTCAAACTTCATACAAGATGAGGATGAAAGTGCTTTGCTACACTCTGAACCTCAGGGGCTTCCTATATAAGATTAGTAGTGACTGGCAGTAATGTACAACGTACATAAGTATATAACTGCAAAACCATAGTGCAACAATGTGGGCATGCACATGCATATTAAACTATGTGAATTTTTTTTCTCTCTTTTTCGTTTTGTAATCTTGTTAACTTTTGGTAGTTAAACTGTGTAAGGCACTGGAAGACATTACAAAGCCTACATTTACAACAAACATGGTGGTATTAAAATTTCATGGTCAACTTGACATTACTGAATATTTTTGGCAAATACGTATATGTATATACATTTCTGTTGAAAATGTCTGTTTTATCTCATTCAACTTCTTGAGGGAGATTGACCAAAACGATCACAGGTTTATTGGCCAAAGCACGATCAGTTTTCTTTGAGTTGGTTTCCCGAAAGATGCGTTCCGAAGAAAATGTGTTGTTTTTAGAATGAGCACAAGAAGTTAGTTCAAATCTGAACAGTGTGGTGGGTTATCTGTTACAGTCTTATAAGGCATGGATAAGTGAGTTCCTAAACAAATGTCTTTTACAAATGAACAAAGTGAAAACATACTTCAAATTTATGCTTTGTAATAATGTTCCGGTTATACTTTCTACAACTAAAGCAAACATTGAGTTGCAATAATTTATGTTCATTGTCACTGAACCAGTTATGAATGGTACTTTATGTACAAATTAACTGTTACTGTCTATCAAATTAAATTACAACTGACAACAAATCATAACCAAAAAAAGAACAAAAAAAGATAAATGCCAAAACCAGATATACATGTACATGTTGAAGACGGCAAACAGTCTACTGGAGATATATAATAACTTAGCAATAGCTACAAATGAATTCTGATAACATGTACAGCTGAAGTGATATATACGTAGATGTCTGTACAAGACTGATTTGATTCCTGATACATTATTAGTACCATTTTTAAATATCTGTTTACTGAAACTTAGTCTCAAAATTTCTTCTCCTGGAGATTTTGTCTCCATGTTGTAGGCCAGCTTTGAGTGAGGATTCAAGAAATGTAAAGAAATTTGCTCCAACCCCAAACTCATTTTGGAAATGGCATTGAGGGAGATATAATGAAATGGAAAACTGACCAGTATACCATCAGTTAGCAGCACAGACTATCATGGAAGACAACATTGGCATATTTCTGAACTTTTTGACGCTTTCAGTTACAGCAAACTTCAATTATGTTGAGCACCGCTTGCATCACTTGCCAAGAGCAAAGCTATCTTCTCAAACTGATGGGCTTTTTAACCAGCTCAGCTCCACAGATGCTTTGGACAATGTGCTCTTCTATCAGGCCTGCAGGTACCTTGATGACACCATCCTCATTTTATGGCCTGATTACAGCTCAAGAAAACTGGGGAGGGATTGCAGTACGCTGAATGTCACCGGTGAATATCAAAATGCATCGGACACAATCCCATTGGCCACAGCCAGGTGGGGGGAGGGAATACAGGCAGAAATGTGGTGTTTTGTCTTTACACATCTCTCAACAGATTATCTGTCGAATACGAACTTTGTAAAGAGACCTACCACCACATTCTTCACCGATTGCACCACAAAGATCGTGGTAAGGGTCACTTTTGAGACCAAGGATTGACCCCCTACTTGTTTGTTGAGGGCTGGGTCTTTATGACCTCCACGCACGTTAAAAAATCAAGTCCGGAGTCATCACCTATGACTCTTCTTTCTCTTTTCTTTAAATCTGCTGCATCCTTCAATATTTCAAGAGCAGCTGCGATTCACACCATTTGAAAGCTCCATGCCGGCTCTGCCCAATGATATTTCATAACTTGATTGATGATCAGACAGGACTGATCAGGAAATTCAAATACACACTGATAGACTGACTAATAGCAGTGGAATCATTTCCAATACCACCGTTCTAACCGTAATTGCATATTCAGTTGGAAATTTAATGCTGCTTATAAAGTAATGATGTAGTTGATCTTGGAGTTTTGCCTCTGTACCGGTATTACGAGCAATGGTCTTTACTTCATAATTTCAAAAAATGCATTATGCAGTGACCTTTATTCAAATCTAGCAGGTAATTTCACGCCTAGTGATTTCTGAGAACCTGCAGGAAAATATTTTTTATTAGAAATGGTGGGGTCCACAATTGAATTGTCAACTCATAGAGCTTGCTATGGTCATAAATTTCCCAGAGCAGCAGAGAGAAGAAAGCATTTACTCTTGACATTGATGACAAGACAAAGTCCTCATTCAAAGACAAAAAAACCATTGCAGTGGCAGAAATGAGCCAGCACGCTTTTGTTCCAAAAACAATTTTGAATGTCATGGTAAAGATCTTTTTGAAGCATCAATGTTCGTGTGAAGCCAACACTTTCTGCTTTTTTTCACAGCGAGCTTAATAGCAAAGAGTACCTTCATTTTTTGGCATCTGTGATCATATACAGTATGCAATATTCCTTAAGTAGTGAAGTAACCAGGGAAATGCCATGCCTGTCAAGGAACTAGTATATCTTGGTCTTCAAATCCAGCGACGCTTAGCACATATTTTTCTGCTATATACACTGTACGTACTTCAGCACTTTTCTGCAAACCGTTAAGCAGCACCTCACAATTTACCCTTGATCAGAGGTGAAGTCACAAGTTTCATGTCATACAATTGATTTAAACTCTGCATAAGGAGAGGATGATTTATTTTGTTGAAATGCTTGTTGCCATGGTAACACTTGAAGCCATGGCAGCCACTTTGAAGCTGTCTTAAAATCTCACCCACGTTGAAGCCCACCCTCTTTTCACTCCCATCAGAAGACGGAATCCTCGTCGAAGAAATACATGTACACTGGAAGGTCCATGAAGTTTCCTGACCTTACCAGAGTGAGGCCGACGAAAAAAATTTTGGGAGGGGTTGTGGTGGAGTATAAATTGCACCCCCAGAGTCCTGTGCCTGCTGTATATGAAAGATTGCATCTGAATGATTGACTATGAGCATAAAACAGTTGAGGGTGCTGTAAGACTGATCTCTTCTCAAATTTACTTGGCTATGGCTTGAAATTATACATGTACCTATGGACGCCATAAGCTAGCACAGCCATTCCCTGTAAACTTGTGCATTATTGCCAGCTGCAGCCAAGCAAGTCGGACACAGCCTTACCCAGAAGAAGGCAATCACTTGCTTGGCATATGTGAAGTGGTTTGTGATCGTTTTCTGGCCGGATGTGCATATAATGGGACATGATCAGAGCGTGCTTTTGGCCAGAAGTCCCTTGAGTCCAAAGCATGTAAAACCGCTTCGATGGGAAAAATGACACAAAAGGGACCCCAAGCTGCATTCTTGTTGCCGTAGTTGCACACAGTGAAGCCCACAGCAAATCAACAGGTTTCTGTACTGAAATGTTTATCGTCACAGGCACTTGATCCCTTTAGGCAACTCCCAAGGCTTTGGCCATACGATGGGAGAAAAACTGTCCCTGGGTGGCATGGCCCCTTTCTAGCTTTCTAGCCAGGAGAGAGGAACCCACTGTGGCTCCAGCTGTATTCTGTTAATCTCCTCCACCAATTCCGAGTAGGCCCTTTCGTGGTCGTAGTGGATGATGACGTAGTCAAAGTAGTGGCCGTAGGTGTCCTCCATGGCGCGACCGGTCTCGATGATTTCCCGTAATTCCTCCTCCTGAAGAATGAATGTACAACAGCAACATGACAACTTCTGCATTCGATCAATTTAGCGGTCTTTACAGCATGCCCCCTTCCCTTTGCTATTTTTGAGATTCGGAGATCTGTTGGATGTGTCTCAAAGTGTATAATCTGGCAGTATATTTTTTTCCACTGATAGGGGAAGTGCCAGCATTATGCCACGACAGAAATAACCCCAACTTACACCTACTTACAGGCATGACTGGGCCAAGGCTAGACCATTGTGAAACGTGAATGAAGATAAACATTTTACTCCATTTTGGACACATGGCTCATACTACATCATGATGAGTATCAATGCTGGTTGCAGTCAATCAAGATTTTGACAGGTCACCAAAAAATACACGGACACACGGCATGGTAAAAAGAGATGAGGCAGGGTCTATGACAGGTGAGTTCCAGTTGTCCTTAGCAAAGGAAACAGCCATCCACTTCCCTGGACTGCATCAGGATATCATTCGGTTGGTTTCCTCAACAAAGAGGAATTCACCCTTGCTCTCTGACTGGTGACTGACTAAACACACAAATGATGGAGTGATTATGGAGGGAAAGGAAGAGCATAGGTACAAGACGCACAACTGCCCTCAAAGCAAGTTTTATCTTCACCACTATCTTGACATGGTACTGCATACTGCAAAGTGCAAGGAAATGCTTCCATTTTCATGCCGAATCCACAAGGCTGAGGGATCAAACACAACTGAACTACAGTTGAAAAAGTATCAGTTTACCACAAAAATGCTGCCTTTTTCTGGAGTACTAGGGACCTTTAACAAGGCATGGCAACTACAGTTGCCATGTACATTAAAAAAAACTTTGGGGAAAACAAATTGCCCGAATGAAGATGAAAACCAACATTCCTGAAGCTTAAAATGTGGCTGCTTCAGTGAATATATTTAGGGGGCTAGCTTTTGTCAAAGTCAGACCTGCCATACAACATGCCATACTCCTTCTTGAGGTCAGGCATTACCACACAATAAATTAAATATTTAAATAAACTAAGGCTCATTTAAATACCTTTTCTTCTATTGTGTGGTAATGCTTGACCCCAGGAAGGAGTACGGCAAGGTTGGGAGTTCTGCAACAGCCTATGCTCATCTGCATTCACCAACTTCCATTCCTTCCCCACAACCTTCTCCACCTGTGCCCATCCCCAACCCCCCAACCCCACCCACATCGCTTGTCTAACATGATCCTGGACCAACCTTCAAGAGATCTCCAACTTCGGTTCTCTGCTGCCTGAGTCGATCCAGGGACGGTGGGCAAACGAAGATGAAGTACGGCCTCAGGTCGGAATTCTTCAGGACTTTAAGTGACTGCAGTAAAAAAAGTTTAACAGGTTTTCAATGTTACGAGCAGAAATGCAGGTAAGAAATGCGAGGATTACATTCACAGCATACAACAAAAACACAAAAATCACCAAAAAGAAGGGTAATAAAGGAAAAAATGGTAGCGCTTGAAAGCATGTGGCGTGCAGTGAAAAACTTTGTGCAGCAAACAAAAGCTGAATTCTTAAACTTCCGAAAAGACTGAAGGCAACATGTACATGTACATGGATTCTTTCACCCAGTAGGATGCCTGCCTTTGCCAACAGAAATTGAGTTAATTTATTAAAGAGCAATTTCTGTGAAGGTAAAAATGTGGAAGACAATCAAGAAAATGTTCGGTGCCGAATGTTCAGTTGCCGTGGCGACGTCTGGCTGTGACATCGCCTCTACCACCATGTTTGATTCAGACTCTGCTTTGCATGCCCACCATTTAGCCAAGGTGCACATGTTTAACAGTTTCTTTCCCTCCCCTATCTTTTGTACAAAACAGGCTGGGTACTGTTACTGTCTAGGAATCTGGAAAATCACAAACTACTTGATGGGGGCTTCACAGGGGGCTTTGTCATTGCTAATGTTCAGTAACTTTAAAGTGCAATTTAAATTGACTGTAACTGTTTCTTTTTAACATTTCAGTAACTTTTCGTTAAAGTAATGTATTGTATTTTAAATTTGTACTGTAATATGGCCTTTGGCCATGAGTGTGAAAATAATTAAAGCAAAGCAAACCAAAGCAAAGATATAAGAGTGGCAGGGCATTTGAATGTGCTGTCCTGTCTTCCATACCAATATCCTTTACTCCACCAGGTCAGCAATGGGTCGATGTAACTGGTCCCTTTTCTGTCAGTGTGTGTGTTTTGGATTTGAGATCTGATTCTCCTGGTACTTCTCCAATTTCAGTTCCTGTTTTTTAATAATGCTGCTTCCGTATTCAAGCGATCCCTGTCACTGTCATAATACCTATGTACATGCACATTACAGGCACTGCATCACAGTTGAACCAATGTGAGCATGACACACCACGCATCAATACACGATGATGTCAGCAAGCAAAAGGAAAAGAATGAACAGGTCTGAATACATGTACAAGACAGACAGTTTAGAGTTTTATCAATTTTTAGCTCTGACAAAGAAAACTGACTGAAGAGGAATTCAAACACCAAACATGGGTTCTACCTGATTTATGGGGATTACAGACTTTTGATAAGAAGAATACTCTTGTGATAAAATCCTATTACAAAGAGCAAATTCTAAACTCCAAAGCCTCTTGAATTCTTCAGATTTTTTCCCACTCCTATTATGAGGTTCTAGTTCTAACACTATGATTTGCCTGGTCCCAGAAATCAAGCAATACTGATAGTTAACAGTTGCAAGTTGATAGATTGACTTGTCAGCTTCAAGTACAAAACCTGTTTCAGTGGCTTTCCTTAACCCTAACACTCCTCAGTCCTCCAACAGGTGAAGGATTGAGGAGGGTTAGGGTTAAAAAAGAGGGTTTTCAAAAAAGAGAAGACTGGTTGAAGAGCAGAGAAGCATGGTATTTCTTAAAAGCACAGCTAAATTAAAAAAATAACAAAATTCTGGAGGTTCCATGACGGAAATACCAAAATCATCATCTAGCATCACTGTGGTAACATTCTTTGAATGGCAATGGCAAGTAAACATTGCTGTACATCCACAAAAAATGTATGTTTGATCGGAAATCAATCTAGATGAGGACATCAAAACGGACATTTTGTGACTACTTTTGACAAAACAGCAGATCATGACATGACTCTAAATGTGCACAAAAACCACAAATATAGAAATCATGTTCTGACAGCTGAGAAGCAACTAAATGTACAAGCGAGCAGTGTTACTTCAGTCATTTTGCAAACACTGAAACAATCAGCAGGAATTATATCTGACAAAAAATCTAAACAACAGCACAAGATCACACAGAAGGTCATGCATATACATGTTGCAAATTTCCAATGTGCCAGTTACTCTTATGCAAAACAGGGCAAGCAGTGATGAATATTAATGAGCTCAAACCACACACCCTCCAGAAGGTTCTGGTTTTTCGCATGCCATGCTTGAACTCTGAAGCCTAGAGTCAAAGACAAACAAGAAACAAAAGTGACAGTGCAGGGTTAGTGCTAAACGGCATGTGTCTACAGTTATCTACAATTTGGACTAGTTCTCTCCCTATGAACATCAGGGTCGCGGCTGTCAGATGTCGAGTGGCGGATACAATGTATTTGCAAAATCTGGATATTGGCCCCACGTGACAATGAGATGTCATGTTTCTATGTAAGAATGATGTCCCTCTTGGTGAGAGAACACTGCACGCATGCACCAATCCATACATTTGTCAACTTTCTGATGAAAAGGATGATCTTCTCATATTCTGCCAGTGCCAAAATGTAGTTTGTCCCACCAGCTTGTCTACTCTTTGCCAGTACATCTGAGAAGATAATACAGAGCAGCTGGCAACAGCAGCCCATTTTACTCAACACTGCATGAAGTAAACAGATGTAAGGAAAAATGCATATTTAGCTGAAACACTGGCCAACACGGTCAATCTGTCAGCAGGGACCCTGTGTTGATTACTCAAGCCTATTTTACCAACTGCACTTGTAAAACAGAGAGCAAATTAACCCTCCTCCAGTTTAGTCATTTTTATGCTTGTTTAAGCTCCTTCTCCCTGCAACTTACATGTAGCTGTGAATTTATGCCTTCAATTCGGGGATGAACTTACAAGCATCAAGCTTGTCTACAATAGGAAAGCATCCAGCTTCTCTACAATAGGGCCCGTGTCTACTAAGTACTACGGTAACTCCAGAATTGTGTTAATATGTCAAAAGCCAATATTTTTCTGCTAAAGCATCGGTAACATTTCATTTATTAGTAGCTCCATCAAACGTCTCATTTAACTGCAAGTGGTCCAAAAAGGACGAAACTTAGTGTGGTAAAAGACTGCTGGAAAATGCATTTCTGTTTACCTTTTTAATGGCCTGAAAAATTACTAAAATATTAGTACATGTATATCAAATCCATGTGCTGTTTGAACATAAAATTGCTGCCTACAGCACAATGTGGCCGAATTCAAGCCATGAAACCAAACTGAAATTCAGATAAGTGGTAGACAGTCTTTCTTAAGGTGGTGAAAATGATTCATTCAATTAACCACTTGCTGCCGGGGAACCCCATTTAAGGCACACAGGCTTAACACACGAAACCGGGGAGCCCGAAACCGGACTAAAGAGCCAGGCCTTATAACAAAAGACCGTACTTGTAACAAATGACCGAGCTGCTGGGAATTGCCAATATTTTTTCAGTTGTCAATAGCAGAGGAAATCCATACTTTTTTGAGAGAATATACCACTGTTTGTGGCATTCAGTACAAGTGGATTCCCACCGGGGGACAAAAGCGCTCCAGCGATGAGCGATACCTACCGCTGTACGTTAATCTGGCTCCTATTGAAAACACGCCACTTTCGGGAGCAAAAGAAAGTTACACAACACTGCACAATCTGGGCTCTTTTTACAAGGCGGCAGGCCTGGCTGAAATACTCAGGCGTCAATAGATGTTGTCTGTCGAATTAGAATAGTCACCAGACAGTCATTGGTGTGGGTGTATACGTTCAGTAAATGAAGCTATGATTTTTTTAAGATTGTTGAAAACGGACAATCTTGAAAATCTCTCGGGTTTACGTCATGCAACTTCAAATTCCACCCGGCAGCAAGTGGTTAACAACTTTTTGAAACCAACAATCCATACTGGTGAAGACAAAAAAAGTTGCCGGCCAATTAGCTGTGAGAGAAAACGCTAACATGCACATCATCCAAAGCGAATGAGACAGACATTTCAAGCGACTGTGTTGACAGTTTTTCTTCCGGAGAGTGCAATAAAACCATTGCAACGTCGACAGACTGAAAGCTTTTCACCCGTGTGGTACGAGAAAACACCGAGCAAAAATCTGAAGACGCAACAGCTTTGCTATATTACTGGTGTGTGCTCTGTGCTGAAGTTGCGTGGATAAGCATGCGCACAAAATACACAACGGAGAGTGTCGGAGGGTATTATTTCTCTTGTGTCACGTACATGTACTATACAACACCCACAGGAACGATGCTTAAAGACTGAAGAACGGTAAAATGGTTTTGTCAATTACCGAATCATCACAAAGACTAGACATGTACATGTACAAATTCCTGTGGGTAATCTCACTTACATGGCTCCATGGCAGAATGGAAAAACACTGCAATGCATGAATGCTTTCTAGGGTAAAACTTCCATTACTGTGGGACACAGCATGGGCGACATTGTGGACTTGCCCAGAATTCAAAAGTGCCGAGCCCATCCCAAGTCTGGTCACAACTTACTTCACCTGTTCTGCCAGGAAATCAAGGGAATGCACAGTCGGGATGGAAGTCTTTATTGTTCACTTGTAGGCTTGTGACTTCATATGGGACTTGGATAACTTTATGGTCAACTTGTGATGGACTAAGGACTTGTGACTCATAATAACATAGTCAGATATAACTGAACTTTAACTACAGAAAGGCAAGCCACTTATTAAAGTCCCATTATCAGCGAACCCAAACTATCGCGGGTCAACACTCCCTCACAGAAGACTTGGTGCTCTCTTTAATGTCAACCGCAATGGCATCCCCAAGCCTGGACTTCCAGCCACAACTCACCTGAGGATGGAGGTTGAGCACACAGATCTTGGACTCCTCCACCACACTGCGTATGGCCTCCAGGCTAGTGCCGTAAATGTTCTTCTCAAACTCGCCGTGCTCCACAAACTTCTCGGCTTGGATGTCTTGCTCAAAGCGTTGCCTGGTGGTGAAGTAGTAATCCAGGCCATGGACTTCGTGGTCCTTCTTTGGTCTACTCGTGTCTGTGGAGAACGGGCACACACCACGGGTTACAATAGCTCAAAATGAGTAACATCTTGAGGAAATAATTTCTGTAAATGGTTGGTAACAGTACAGTACCACTAGAGCGGCTGAATGACAATGGAAAGTAAATTCAAACTTCAGCAAAAGTGAAAGCTGGCCAATTTCAAGATGTTAACTTTCTTGAAAGTCTTCAACCTCTTAATAGGCACAAAGGGCCAGTGAAACTCCACTCTCAGGACTTAGAAAATGGAGCTAGGCAAAAATGACTGAATCTTTCAAATGATTGTTTGCTGATTTGAAAAAGACGATGGATTTGAATACCCAAGCACACAAAATCAGTCAAAGTTAGTGATTCAAAATAAGTAGGTCACAACAGACCAACATCAGCAACCACAAACCCTCTGTTATTTGACAAACTTTAACATTCAAAAGCATTTAGTCCTAGCTTACAGCTCAAAAACAAATTCAAGTGAAGGTTTTAAGGCAGGTCCCATGCATAGATCGTCCAAAGTGGGGACCAACAAAAGATGAACCCAGGACTGAAGTAACGTGTCACCTTGCTTTTCTGAACATCTCTAGGCCAAAAGCGTGAGACAGGAAAAAATAGACAATCAAACATGAGAACTTACGGGGTACAGCAGCTGCAAAGCGTTCGTCTGTCTCGAGTAATCTCTGCCTGAGTTCATGCCGGCCCACCTTGGGTGGACCAATCAGCACCACGGGCCTCTTCTTGCTGGGGTCTGGCTGGTACAGGCCAACTTCCTCGTAGGTCAAAATCTCATCACTGCTTTGGTCTGCAGGGATGTGAAATAAAGGACGGCAACTGTCTTGAAACCAATGCCTAATGGGTACCAGTAGGCTGGGGATGGTAGGCACACGTTGCATGTTCCAAAGAACAACAGACATGTATTTGAACTCTGTTACAACTCAGCCCCAATAGCTGTTATCCAAGAATAACACCCTTTGAAAAAATCTAGATATCCTCAGGCAGGATCTTGAAAGTTATTTTGTCCTCACATTCACTGCTAAGAGTACCAGTATAGAGGTAGATAGAGGCCAAGTAGGGACCACAAGTAGTACAAAAAAATATTTGATTACCACTTGAAACCCCCCCCAAAAAATAATATTCCTTGCCACTAATATTTAGTCAATGTGAGCTTAGGTTATGGTTCTGTTGGTCTACGCTGAGAGTTGATGGGAACCGTGTAGGTGTACTTCCTTGGGGGTCAATTTCAAAGTGAATGCAAGACAGCTGCTTTTTCAAAATGGCTGCCTCAATTCCAAAATCGCGCATCAAAAAGCTACTCCCAAGAACCAACTCTCTCCATGCAGCATTCTCGATCCCAGGAGTTAATGTCAGTTGGCAAAGTGTTTCCATTTCTAGAGGAAAAACTGCACGGAAAAAAAGTCTGCCCTTTTTGAAAGACGACTGTTTGCTCACCGTTTCCATTTGCATTGTACAGCTTTTTCTTTTTCTTCTTTTTCTTGGACTTGCCGCCGCAGAATAGCTTCTTCTTCGGTTCCTCGTCCTCGGGCATCGTCTGCTTCATGGCCTCTCGTCTGTCCAAGCAGATTTGAGAAAAATTAGCAGTAACGAAGGTAGTCCATAATACTGGTGTCCTGTTTCTTTGTCAAAGGAGGAAGCCAGGAGTCCAACTGTCATTTTCAATTTCATTCCGTTTGCAAAAGCAAGTTTGGAAGAAGTCAGATTTAAGCTGTCTGGTACTATGAACTAGAAGACGGTCATTGCCTCTAGTACACACTAGCAAGGAAACAGCGTGTAAATTTATCATTATTCCGTTATCACATCAAAAATAACCCTTGCAGGATCTTTTCCATGACTTTCCAGGGCAACTTTTCCCCCTGGATTTTTCCACAACCCTGGGAACCCTGTGCTTTTGGGCCCCTTTGAAAGGCCGAGGCCAGATGACACTCACTGCTGCTGGAAGCTGCGGCTGGGGATCAGGCCGGCCAGCGTCTGGTCCTCCTCTCCCTCCCGGTATGCCTGCCACCAGTTGGAATCGTCCTGGGCGATGACATGCAGGATGTCCCCTTTGTGGAAGGATAACCCCAGCTCCCGGCAAGGGATGTACATGTCATCCTCCGGGTCGTAGTCAAAGTGCGCCCTCATGTGAATCTGTGAGGGGGCGCAATGCGGAAATGCACATGGGTGAGCCATAACAGAAGTTTACTTGAACGTAAACTATCAAACTGACAGAAATGCACTACAGATTCCATCAACCATGGCCCTGTAATGGCACAACACTAAACACAGTAACTGTGCAAGTGCAAAGCGCCCACGCCTGACATTCAATGGATATTGGCAGGCAACATATTGACTTCCACGTGTGACGTTCTTGAATCTGTATCTTTTTGGTACAGCAATCAAAAACATGAAACTGCTTTCTTCCCTTTGAAAAACTAACTTAATCTCACTAGATTTCACTTCATGGTGGGGTTGCAGATCCATCCACTTTGGATTCCGCAGGCTCTCGTAGGGCTAAGCAGGGAAGATAATGGTGCTATATTCAAGTGCATCACAAGTTATTTAGTCTCAAGCCATGTCGTTCGAATACACTGTGACAAAAACACTCCTTGGTGACTGGTCTCATGGAAGGACTTGTGATTGGACCTGTGAGGGACTGGACTTCAACACTGACAGGTACTGACCAATGAAAGCTATTTCACAAACTTCAACTTGCTTTTAAACCTGAATCTGGAAACTGCAGGGAAAAAAGTCACTTGAAATGTCAGCAACCGACAGGCCGAATGATGGGAACTTACAAGGGCTGTGTCTTTGGACTGTTGCTTGATGTTATGCTGCTTACAAGGCACCATGAGGAATGTAAGTGTCCCTGAGAGAGCGCTCTGTCAGAGATGAAAAAGACGACAAAAGAGTTTGTTGTTGCATTGTCAATGAACACAGTCAGCGGGAGGAGAGACAGCGGTAAGGAGTCTGAAAAACATGCTTTGAAGTGTAAGATATGCAAAGCATACACTTTGGGAAAACAAGAAGTCATAAAACGTACAATAGGAACAGTACTAATAATTATTAAGATCAATATCAATTACGGTAATTTCTGATGAAAGAAATTCAACCACTAAACCACAGCACTTACTGATTAGAAATGAACCAGGTTGGTATTTCAAAAAGACAATTTTACTTCAGAAAAAAGGACACAAGCGAGTCTGTTGATGGCCACACTGATACAGCAGGCTTTCCGCACATGTACGACGGTTCCCAAATGACCTCAGATGCCCTTCATTGTAGGCATGCACTGTTTGAGTACCAAACTGGCTTATTCTTATCCAGTAAGCCTTGGGTATTGGTGTTCAAGGGTGTTTTCCCATCTGTTGCAAGAATATGCAAGGCTCAACATGCAGATCTCTTCATATAATAAAGTGTACCTATCACAACGACATATCAGGTCAGTTCAATATTCCATACTACTATCACTGACAGTCCATCGAGCAATACTTTCATTTGAAAGGAGGTCCCAGGGCACCGGTAGCTCGTACAAGTGAGCAAGCTCTCCCCTTACCATGAATTCACAGATTTCATTGACAGATTTTCCTCGAATATCGTTGCCGTTGATTTCCAGTATCTCATCCCCTTCGTGCAGCAGCCCGCTCCGCTCGGCCATGCCGCCCTTGATGATCCTACCGATGACCACAGCCTCTCCATCATTCAGAATAGTCGCTCCCTGACAAATCAAGCAAAAAAGGTCACATCAACTTAAGCGGCATGGAACACTCATCCAGCTGAGAGGAGAGCAGCACAACGCATGCTCAGGAGAGAGACAAATGAAAATCAGTGTACTGCACAGTATAGATGTTTCTCATAGGACGACATCTTCATAGGAAAATTACAACCCCGTACTCAACACTATCAGGTGCACATTCGCATAGTGCCCAAAATGTTCTATTTATGTATTGATCCAATATTTTCTAAACATGGCACAGTCAAAAGGATGTGTGTCACGAAAATTTGACATTTAAAATGCCGGTTTACATGTCTAATCAGTAAGAAGTGACGTCATTTGAGAAAGACCAGTTCCATTCATTTCTGATAAAATCAGACATTTTTCTTGGACTCTACGATCGATCGCTCTTGGCACAAACCACGTAACTGAGGTGTGCCAAAGTGGCATGTGGCAAGTCATGCCTGACACACTGATGCTAGACAAACAGTTGACAGTAAGTCTCCTCGGGGGAAGAGAAATTCATTAGATGCAGTACATGTATCTGTCAGATGCCGAACCACCGACCAACACAATTTACAAACATTCAAATGGTGGGTTCTCTGGCCTCGCTGGGCCAGCTGCTACTTTGGTGCTTATTTTGGAAAAGGATCTTCATTTTCTGATCCAAGGTCCTGACTCAACAGGTGTTTCTTCCACTCAAGAGTTCACTGACCTTGGTAATTTATTGCACTCTGACAAACTGTGGACAGTCTACACTGAAAAATCCAATCAAGTCTGTTTTCCTGCACTGGTACTTCATTTTTACACATACCGGACATGTAATTTGAGAATAGACACGCACAAGTGATGTTGAACATGATTTATTTCTAAATAAGATTAACCACATGTGAAGAAAAATTCAGGTCAGTTCACTCTGTAGGGAATTTAACAAGTACAGCAAACAAGCAATTGTTTTCATTTTCAAGCGTATTAACCCCCCCCATATGATTGAACGTACAATTATCCCTATTTCCACTCTAAACGGAATTGCTTTTCAAGGACTCCTTCCTGAGTGGAAGTACCCATACTCAGGAACTTGGAAAACTTTAAAATGAAGAAATTCAGTTAATGAGACGGCGATGATGGCCAAACTGTGAGACCCTGTGACTCAGATATCAGTCACTGTTTTGGCTCCGTTCAAAATGGATGGTCAAAGTACAATAGGCTCAACAAACAATTTCGAAACCTGCGGTTCAGCTGGAACAACCATAGCAGGGTTCCCCTGGGGTACTGATCTGTGCGTGGTGGTCAAACAAATTTGCCAAAATTCTAGTGCCTAGAACAAAAGCAAGTGTTTTCAAAAAGGCCTAAAATAAATTCTATATAGTCTAATATTACATTTTCTCCAAATTTCTCCTCTAAAATAAATCAATCTAATATTGTAAGTCCCTCTTTACCCTTCTGAATAATTTGAATCTGATCTGTTTCAAAATATCTAAGTTACTCTGCTTTTTCCTTCCATCTTTGTCTATTTTTAGAGTGAAGTGGTATAATTCAACCCTAAAAGCCTGAGGTGGTCACTCCAATCAGTGAGGTGCGCCGTCTCACAGTTGAAGAGGCAGAGGACCCCTGAACCACAGGGTGCATTCAATTAGTTTTCATGGTTACACAGGTTCAACCTTGTCGGCCTCCTCCCCACTGCTTGTGTGATACAACATACACAATCACCCCCAGGTCAAGGTTGACCAGCGTGAGCCAATCAAATGCAGCCATCGACTCCTACACAAATTTGACAGTATGTGGGTTTTCGAGCCTTACCAGGGGTTCGTTGGTTTTGTCAATCCGAACAATCTTGACCGAGTCTTCCTCTACCATCTCCAAGTTAAGGTCGTCCTCTTGGTCTTCGGGCCCAAGCATCTGGGTGGGGTCCCTGGAGGCGATGTTGTCGTGGGTCGACAGCAGGGACTGTGGGGCAAATATAAAGCAACGAAACTGATTGAAGGTATGGTAAAGTAAAGTTGGTGGCCAAGTGGTTGGAAATTTGCAAAGGAACACAAACTTTGTGGTCTTCACTCCGACAAAACTCTAGGAACCTTTTCATTTTTTTTCTCTAAAAGCCTCTCAAGACAGCAATGACCCTCTAATTCACTGCATTAGAGCCAACCCTCAAAATTCCTTAAGTGTACATTGGCAGATTTCTGATGCTTTTATGAGATCCAGGGAGGCATATCCCATCTACACGTACATTTACAATCATTTCCATTAGGTTTTAAAGTGAGACTCCTTGAAAGTTAGGGTTAGGACCGTGCACATCAACAACGGGTCGAGCCATCCACTGACAGAAATGCTATCACGTATATCACACACATGTACAGTATATAATGACAGTGGTTGATTCCAAAGGTTTCAAGAATGTTACCGAACAAAAATATGAACTGGGACCATTCTGTTACATTGCGTTGATCATAGCAGTGAATCAAACATCTTTTTTTCCTCAGGTGCTGGTTAGACATTTCAGCCAGTGTCATACCGGTAGCAAGGTGATCTGAAGTTTGCAATACATTAACCCTAACAGTCCCAAATGCTACAAAGTATCACTTAGTAGTAAAATGTAGTACTCAGCCCTGTCCCTTGTAAGAGAACATGACATTATTATTCTCTGAAGCCATAAAATACAATAGAGAAGACAATGTACCATACAATGCTGTGGCACTATGAATGCATAGTTTCATTGTTCTCTGTACGAATAACAATGGAATAAACCTAGCCAGAAATAGTAATTTGTAACGCTAGGTCCTTCAGGCTCAGAGTGTTACGTAGTATTTTGTAGTACTGAGTACTCTAAGCCAAACAACGCCCGGTACTGTTGGGGTTAAGATAGGGGCATTTATGGTGGAAAGGGCTCTTTGATGCTACACCACTGTCTGCTAATGGGCCAAGTTGGGTATTTCTTGTGAAAATTGGGTAGGGTCAGGAGTCACGGATTTTGGTCATTCTTTTCATGAGAGTACACAACATACAGGCATTCTTTCATCTCCCCCTTCCCCAGCTTGCTAAAAACATACATAAGAAAATCTTCACGGCTGATCTGATCGACCTTTTCCAACTTTCTGAAAGGGAACATGGGCCATAAACCACTCCCCTAACCGTACGCTTCAGGAACGGACGAAAAGTTTGTAAAGAGGGTTATGCTTTGAGGTTTAATACCTACACAACAGCGTGACAGTGCAGTACACAACCTGCCAAATAGACTTGGGGTGCAATTACTTCATCTTTGGAGGCTGGGGTGGATAGTCTCAAGGACGACCCTTGGATGTTGCGGTTATGAATCTTTGTGCCAGGGTCCACAGGAAAGGTCATCTTTGAGTCATCACAGGGGAGGGTTGAGAAAGTCCTCAGAGTGGAAGTTTAGGTTGGAAACAGCACCCTGGGTATGATGGGGGGAGGCCGAATCGGATTTGGAAAGCTCCTTTGCAGCTTTCCTGTTCGCATGTGACTTGGCTGTTTTTGAGTTTGACATGCTAAATTGTGCTTTTCCTGTTCAGTCCACGTTTCCAGTTTTGTGCCAAGATATATACAGAGTCAGACCATGTAAAAAAAAAACCACAGAAAAAAACAACTCAACGGCAAAAATTCCGAAGGGAACTTTAAAAGCCAACTCCAACATTCACATCCTTCAAAAAGGAGCACTTTTGTTCTAGAAAATTGGGATCTGCATCTCCTTTTACGTTCAGCCAAATCCAAGATGGGGCATTGGCAGATGTTTGACAAGAATGCTCACCATGATCTGCCTGATCAATTTGTTCATGATCCTGGAAGAAAGTACAGTTAGCCAAACTGTGAAACACTATTATTTGTTTTACATGTACATACATGTTAACAGTTTTATTACAGCACGTGAAACTACAGACATGTGCCTGCCCTGTACAATGTACATGTATGTCAATAACTAATTTCAACAGTGACTCTGCGCGAGAACACTGTGGTCACTCCACGATAGCGGGTGCCTGAGACGTGAAACATTAATTGTGATGTGAGCATGGCATTCCCTCAAAGACCTTCAATTGCATTTTCAATGACAGCATTCAAGTTCAAATGCCAGTGGAGGCAGATCAAGGTCACCCTATTCCGAACAACAATGATTGAAGTGTGCAGTGCAGCGGGAGGACAGAATAGTCAACATCACGACCTGTACGACAAAACATATGTATACACAGAGGGCCAGGACCCAAGAAAAAATATGGCATGCCCCACAAAATGCACAGTCAAGTTGACGCAAAGTTGTTTTCGAGTGGTTTGCCGACACTGACGTCAATTCCTTGCAGTTCATGCTCGGTAACAGCCAGACTGCCCTTTGCTGGGAGGAAGTGGCTGCTGTTCATACTTACGAGTATACGAAAATCCCAAATGACAACGCCCCGACAAAAGTTTAACATCCAGACCCCAGAGGCACGCGTGAAAGTGCCACATGTTCCTGCCCACTCTTGTCAGCACTCAGAGAACACATCCTGTGGCTAACACGTCCCTGAATGATTTACGACGAAGGACCTGCTGATGGTAATGAGCACTCTCCACGGTGGCAGAAAGAGGGACTTGGCAGAAAGAGGGACTTCGTGCACCTCCATTCCCAAACAAGATTTATCGTAAATCAAACAAAGTACCATAACCCACCAGAGATGATGTGAGTATATTGCCACTCCCGATATTGCATCAGGCTCTCGCTCAGTGAGATCTGGGATGCTGTATTACTGTATGAATGCTTTCCCCAGAATATAGCAGGGAAACTGCTGCAGTGTGAGTCGGCTCATTCAAGAAGCCCTCTTGACATCAGTCAAAAGAGAGTTAAGCTAAAAGGATAACATACACACAGATCGCCTAACGTACCACAGATTCCCAGTGCATTACATGCAAAATAGAAATGCCCTCTAAGACTGATAACTTACCTGGCAGGAATCACTGTCAGAATTTTCTACTTTGACACATAAGGCCTCTCATATTTCAGTCAACAAAGAGAAAGCTGGTTGGAAGACTTACATGTAGGTTTTGTTGTGCTCTTTCTCCCCATTTAAAGAGCCCCTCTAAGGAAAACATGTTTTCTCTGCTTTTATCCGTTCAAATAAATATGGAAGCATCCAAATCCAACCCAGTGTCACTTGTCTTCTTAGTACAACTACATGTACAACAAGCTAAAAAGGGTTTTTTCTGCTCATGCCAAGATGCGAATTCTGAATGTAGATTGCGTCATTCTGAGAAAACAGAGAAAACGAGGGGAACCCTCGCCGTGTTCGTAGTGGGTAAACCCTAGCAAGCCAAACAATGGCTACATGCATTGTTTGGCATACACATGCTTCCATATTTATTTGAACAGATAAAATCACAGAAAACATGTTTTCCTTAAGGTGCTCTTTAAAAACGCCCTCACCATTTGCTTTCCAGATTTGGCACAGACGGCAAAAAGGGTTAGAGTAGGGCAGATGAGGAGAGCCTAGATTGAGTGATTATTGCTCAGATATTCTTGGCTTGTTTGTGAGCTGTTTGTTGGCACCCACAATAGACCAGTCTGACCTCTATGGTGCATACCAAGGTTCAAATCTACATGTACAACTAGTGCTCAAAGGTACATGTACCAGGTACATATACATCTCCACAGGGACCCGAACACCAAGTCCAAACCTGCACTTACATGTACATGTGTCTGAACGAGTGGCCACATGTAAGAAAACATCAGGAACTCAGTGAATGATACCACTGCTAAACTCAGCACACCAACTGTGCAATCTGAACTCTTAAAATTGCTCATTGGCAGGACATTGACTGACATGCAATGAGCCAGTCCAGTATGCCAACAGCACATGCCCATTACGAAGCTATTCGGGAACAGCTACGTGCATGCGCGACAGCCTGTCTTATCCGCGCACCCATACGCTGACTCACGCACGCACTTTGTTCCCGAAAGACCTTGGCTTTTTGAAATACCGAGCTGGCTCATTGTGTAAAACATGTCACGATGAATATACATGTACATGTACCTGGCGTGCCACAACTCACTCAAGTGCAAAACCTACCGATGGCTGAGTTACTGTTTGGGTTGATCTACATGTAGATTGCACAGTGGCTGTGGCAGAAATGCCCACAGGATTCGTGAGACTTCAGGGCATCCAAGTTTAGTAACACAGCTTGTCCCTCTGGACACTTGAGAACCACACCCACCTCACCTGCAGACTTCAACACCAACAAGTCATGTTTTCCCTTCCACTGAGTCTAGACGGATACTGTGTAGGCATGGCAGAAAAAACTCAGACACTGGGAGAGAGGGGGAAAAGGGCCTGCATGCAGACAAGAAGAACTGCTCCGCCAAGATGACAATAAACAGAACCCTAGTCCCCTGAACAGTGGTTTCACCTTCGACCTTTTGCTGCTTAACTGTCACCTCTGTCTAGGAGCTGGTGGTACATCCACTGGTTCCCCGTGTCCCAAGAATCAATATGTGGAAAGCTCAGTTGACCTGAGCAACCTAGGATACACAAGCATACATGTACAGTACATGTACATGCTTCTGCTGCACAAGGTTGGCCATCACCTTCATCAGTACACTGTGATGTTCTATGGCTAGGCTGTAAGATACTGCATAATGTACACATACAGTATTGTATATGTACACATAGAGTGCATAATAGGATATTCCTCACAAGAAATGTAGAGTTGACTATTGTGATTGGCAAATACACAGTATTTGGCACAAATTCAGTTCTTCTTTGACGTTACACTGTAAGTACAAAATATCAACTTTGTGCAAGTGTATGAACCTTTGAAGTTTTGGTCCCCTAAGAGTTTTTTTACATCTCCCAATAGGTGGGGGGATTCAGGGAGTTAAGGTGAATGTGCTGGGTTTTAAACAAACACTTTATGGTACATTACTTAAACTTGTGAACCTTTTTCGTGTGTTTGAAATAATACTGCTTTGTCCCCATTCAACCCCAAACTGGGCTGTGCAACGATCTTGTCCCCTGACCTTAACGACAGGTCAAGATGGAGAGGTACACCTGCCAAACCCCTGCCATGAGTAACATCCCTGCCCCTGGGGTATAATTGGTGAGCTAGTCTTCCCCTTACAATAACAGTTATCTAACACACACAGCCAGATCAATCACTTTCAATTAGAGTCTCCGGGAGGAACTGAACCAGGGTACCATGGGCTGGACTCATAGCAATTGTGAATTGAGTTCCTATGGGACAAGTTCTGCTCAGTGGGTAGTCTGCATCGTTGCATATTTAGGATGACAGCATCTGTATGGAACAATTATGTCATTCTACAATCCTTCTTGGGTACACAACCTACTGCATCTACATGTACATTCTTGGACCTTAGAACGACCAAAAATTCAACAATACTTAGCACTGTTGGCTTCATCTTCTATCAATATTAATGAGTTTGTTCTAATTCATTTCATGTTACAGTACAGTCCAATACACCTTCATAAACAGGACAGACCCTGTAATAAAGTGAGGAGAACTTTCTACATTAAGGCAAAATTCCGCGGGAATTTCCATTTGGAGAAGCTGGCCTTTCACTGACTGAATGCGCTTTACAAACTTGATGGCCATATAAAAATCTCCACATTATATTTCTAAGGCTTTCCCAGAGACATTTTCATGTATCTCATCACAAAAACTTTTGAAGTCAGCCCACCTATATTTTGGACAAAAAATCGTGCGTACCCTATCCACTCAAAAAGCAGACAACCAATCCACCATCTCAGCGTTTTATTTTGACAAAACTCAATACTGACAGACCCAGATGTGATTCCTTGGAAATTTCACAGGATTTCAAACTTTTAACTAATTACAAGGAATGTGTCATGTGTCACTGCACAGTCTAGCATTATGAAAGATTCACAGGGTTTGGAAAAGGCTTACAGCGTTCAAGGTTAATCCCACAATGACATCATATGGGCAACATATCCAGAAGCATGACAACTGTATCACTGATCTATTTATAGGGAAGCTGGAATTAATGCTAGGCCCACAATGTCCAAATTGACAACATCTGTCACATACTAGTAAATGTAACAAACGACAGTTATAAACCCTTTTCAGCCTTGCCACAACTGGACAGGAACAAAACAATTACAAATATTAGGTGTAGGAAGGCTGAGGAAACTCTTAGAGTAACAAAAGATGGCACCATTACTCAAAATGTCAAAAAATCTAAACTTAACTAATTTGAATCTAATCTACAGCTAGTGTAAAATATACCAAAGGGGTTTGAGCTATCCATCGTTCCACCACATGTACTTGAGGAACTTATGATCTTTTATCAGATGTCATAGACAGGAAGATCTATATTCTAATCAAATCAAACTAATTCACATTGAGCCAAACTAAATGGCATGATGTCTGCCCTAACCAGCAGGTGGTCTTAGGTACAAGTCCCATCTTAGCACAGTTGACATATCCTTGATTTCTTTTTGAAAAACCAGGTCCTGCCGGGGACATGTTAACCTGCGGGGATTTTTTGTGCACGCTATGATGATGAGGTTTAAACAAGTTCTACGCAAATTCTGTGCGCGGTGCCAGGTGACACCTGTCCTTGTCCCCACTTTTGACTCAAAGAGAGTCATTCCCACTGAGTTTGTACACACATGCAAGTTCACTTAGGTCCATGGAGGTAGAGCGCATGTGGAGCTCTGAAAATATGTGGCTGTGTGCCACAGATGGGCACTACAGCAAATAGTGCTCAGCATCATTGTCTCAGTCTTAAAAGGAAAAAAAACGACGCGGTAAGAAATGTTGAAAAAAATCTTGAACAAATGACCACCAAAGGTCAGCATGTGTAACTTTGTAAAGGACTGTGATCGTGGTGCCCTGTGTTCAAAAGTCTATCTTTCCACCAAATATAAACATTACGCTGTCGATAAGTTCGTCACGGACTAATAATGTCCGGCATCACCGACTGGTTAACTTTTCCCATATCAACAGGATTCCTTACCTTGAATTCCGGAGTCTCAAGTATCCTTGTGAGTTCCTGTGCTTCATCACTCTGACTTGTCTTGGCTCCTGCTTTCACCTAGAGCGCAACAAAGACAAATGAGGTAGGGTAAAATAAAATGACACGGCTAGCGATAAAACATACCAACGAGACTTGGGCTATCCATCATTCCAGACTTAGGAAACTACAACTTTCTCTCAGATATTATCAACAGAAAGGATACGAAAAATGGACAATACTTCCGGGAGAACAATGCAGCATTATGGGTGATGCTTTGAGTACCTCCAACATTAGACAAATCACAAAGGATCTGCTTACAGACAATCTGTCTACTGTGTATAAGATATCAAGATCATGCATGGGAAACAGGGATGCACCAACTTGACTGTCAAGGATTTGATTTTCAGAGAAGCTGAATAACCCAAACTTTCACAAAGTGTAAATTATATTTCCAGAATTGGAAACCGTTAGTTTTGAACATACATGTACATTCCTACCATGTTCTGTACAAACCGGAGAGCAAGCAACCACTTTGTGTTACACAGCCAGTTTTAAAATATTAGCAGTTACTTATAACATGTACATGTAGTCTCCCCCAATTGAAACTTTCAAATGAACGTGCATAGCCACATTTAACATGTTTTCAGTGAAAAAAATATGTACAACACCAGAATCCCTCTGGAACTCAACCAACAGGTACCAGTAATTATGCCACTGATGTAACGGTAGGAGGGCTGCAAAAAAAGTCAGCATGCTTGGCACAAGTGGTACAAATTGGAATTTTAAAATTGCATTACAATGACATGACAGATCACTCAAACCAGAGACAGTCTGCCATGATACTACCGTATCTAATGACATGCAGTGGGTATGCCATTGAAGTACACGTTCTTGCACATGTACATGTACAGCATGGAGACACTGGTAAAGCAGAATTGTGCATGAGCAAAGATGGCAGCCACCCACACTATACACTGTACTAAGGGATTGTTGTCCGGGGCAAAAAGGACGGCTCCTACACATGACGGCACAGACGCACAATCCATCTATTATCAGGGATCTGACATCGTTCAAAATAACGTGTGCATAAAACATACTCCACCCACCAGCAAAAAATAAAAAATGAAGGAAAAAAAAAAAAGGACCAGGGGCTGACTAATGACAGCAGCTAATCAAACTTGGCCTTTTGATGAGTAATAAAAAGCTGCCAATGTCAAAGTTATTTGATAGGAAGAATCTAGGGGCAGGTGGGTTAGAACGTACACTTAGGAGAAGAGCAAAAGGGACCCGACACGTAAACACTTGTACATGTACACGTGGGCAGTATATTCAAATGACGTACATGCAGGTAAACCCTAATTACTGCACCAAAAAAAGCAAAATACTCTATTGATAAAGTGCCCACATTGCTAGCCACTCGAAATGCGTGCATACATGTACTGGTATATATCATGCAAGAGCCTGGCAGAAACATTTGGCATTAGGTTACAGATCATAAAGTCTGATGTAGATTTTCATAAGGGTCCCCAAAACAAATTCCACAAGAATGGCTGGGGGCGTGTCAAGGGCGGTAGTAAATTTAACCATAACTTCCCCCCACCCATACTTCCATAATAGAATGAGGTTTATAAGAGGAAGTAAAGAAACCACAGACAGGCACGGATCACAACAGGATCAAAGCTAGGATTGTAATGTTGTCAACAGGCTTTCTAAACCAATCAAAAACTAATGACAGTGTCTCCTGGCTTTGTTAAAATAGAAACCACTGGTCACGCATCACAAAGGAAGTGCTAAAGCCCGAAAGGTTCTTTATTGGTGATTTCCCTATATCCGAGCAGATGTCCGCCACGCAGGGAGGGGCTGTGACAATCATGGATGTCGCGCTTAAAGCACAATGACTATTGTACCGGTACCATAATACTGTTTGCCGGCTAGTGGCTAAACAAGCACAGGTGCAAAAACATCCAACAGTGAGGCAATTACAAGCGCAGGCCGTGAAAGACGGAATGTCCCATACCAGCTTAGGAAAAACTCAACTTTTCACTCAATTCTCCATGCAACGTACATGGACACAAGAACAGCAGATTAAAACTACCCACATGTAATGACAAGTTGAAATTTGTGCATCTCTTTCAATGTTTTTTGTTTCCAGTCTGACCAGGACATCCTCAAACTTCCCCACTTGGCAAGCACAAAACTGGTACATTTTGTCAGTTATTACACAAGCCCAAACTCAACTATCTGACTGATTTAAAATGATGCAATGATGGAGACTAGACCAGGTAACTGTGAGGCCATCTGAGTGATCTATGAGAGCTACAGTACATTTAACATGGGATCAGAATGCACACCACATTTTATACATACATGTACCCCTATTCTCAATAACCAATCCAGTGACAGCTAATTCAATTCAGTTAAGAAAGGTCCAAAGATAACTGATTTCTGAAGAGCCCACAGAGAGTCCAAAGCAACTTGTTTTGCCAGCTCCTCTGAAGATAACTATATGTATTCCCTGGGGGCATGACCTCCACCCTGGTCAGGACACAGAGCAGACAGCCTTATCATGCACTGTCTGGTTGGCAGAATCTTATCAGAGAACATTTGGGGATGGCAGCTCTCAGCTGGGGGGGATAAGTCGACAGTAATTGGACCATGGCCAATTCTCTGATGTCCAACCAACCTGATCGAGTTTGGTCGCTTCCTTCTGCACATGCATAGCGTACATGCAAATTTTACCAGGTAACATGTTCTCCTGTGTTAGTACATGTATGTATATACCGGTATATGAACAACATGATACATCAATTCCAACATTTAAACATATATTGCATGACCAATACATTTATGTCCTCCCAGAAAAATGAATGGGGACAACTACTTCCAAGAAAACACACTGATTTAGTGATAAACCATTCACGGAATTGCCAAGTTTTCAGAAGTTTATATGCAAATCTGAGTAGGTCTTTAGCGAAGTCAGGTACATGTATGTCTTTTTCATTTCCTTTGAAGCAGCTCATGCCGGTAAACTGTGTTTGAAAAAGAAGTAAACCCTTGTGAGAAACAAGTACACACAAAAACTGCAACTCGACGTCTCATCTCACCTCAGCAGCGATTTGTTGGGCACTGCTGGTGACAGGCAGAGGCACCTGGGTCTGTTGGTGAACCTGCACCAATTGGTTGTGCACCTCCAGTGCTTGCTGGAACCCCGGGTTCTGGAAGAGGCTGCCCAGGAACTGGACGGTCTCTGGTCTGGTCGAGTCCCTCAGCTTGGCCTGCATCTGCTCCAGGTTGGACAGCAACTGGGACAATTCTGGGCAGGGGGAAGAACAAATGACAACCGGGGTTACTCTCAGGAAATCGACAGTAGCCACTAGCTGGGGACGGTCTAACCTATTACCAACTACCATACCGGTACTTTCCCTGTACTAGGAACAACCGGGGAATTTGCGAAAGCATTACACATCATATTTAACACCAATCCTGAATCCAAGGATATCCACCAAGTCACGTACATGTACACTGTTTCTGTTGGGTTTTGTTACTGGTAATTTGCCTTGTCAGTATCTGGCTGTGGGATTCCCGAAGGCTTCAGATGCATTATTACTGGGACATCGTACACACTCTACATGTAAATAGAATCTTTAGGGCATTTAAGGTTACTGCCTTACTCCATTAGGTAATGGTACAGTATGTGTGGTACACTGGCACGGACAAGTACACACTACGCCACATGCAATCTCTGCTACCTGAGGATGCTACATGGGCACATGTACAGTACATGTAGTCTGCAAACAGGCTTGACCACAGATGTGTACAATGCACATGGAGATGAGTGATGAAGACAGCTGAACTATTAAGAGAGCTGCAGGATGACACATACAGTGCAATACAGTGCACACCGTATGCACGTGCAATGAGTCTATCTGTCCAAGCACATGTACATGGTGTACATGCTCAACATACTGCACATGTATGGGATTAATAACATCACAAAGGAAACACCGATGCATGTACATGTAACGCCGCGTTTACACTGGATCCTGCAAAGGAGGATCAGGTCCGGCGAGAGCAACCAGGCGAGAGCAACCAGGCGAGGGGATCAGATCTGTGCCACGTTTACACTGGATCCTGATCCTGCGTGGCGTCGATGAAGCGCTGCAACCTCAGGGCAAAGGTTATGCAAACAGTTCACTGATTATGTGCACTGCAGCAAAACGGCAGCCAGTATTACGTGTACTTTCGCGCTGTACATATACATCTCATTGTCTTATCTTACGTACATGAAGTTTCAGATGAAATGATGAAAAATGGGGAAATAGAAGGTTTTGGATGAGTGATATGCAGCAGTAACGAAAGTAACGAAGGCGGTGTGCAAAAAGTATGAGAAAGGGCAAGTACCAGTTTACTACCAACTCACAGGACAAAAGCACACGGGCTTAATTGAGAACCAGCGTAATGCTGGTTATGTACCGGGTACGTGGCGGCCGGGCCAACAGCGTACATATGGTACGTGTACAATGTCATATACGTATAATGACATGTACATGTACATGTAGGTCTTCACGATGACAGAGACTTGTTTTCGCTCACTTCAAGACTTGCACCGGATGTAGTTATGTCAAATTCTCGTATCTGATCCGGATCGGATCCAGTGTTGGGTTTACACTTGCAAATTGATCCCGTGCGTGGGATCTGAACCGGATCTGATCCTTCCCGAGAAGAGGATCAGATCCCGGGATCAGGGTCTGATCCTGCGTTGTGTTTACACACGTTTTTGATCCAGATCTGATCCAGATCTGATCCCCCTGCCAGATCTGATCCTCCTCTCCGGATCAAGTGTAAACGCAGTGCTACAGTAGACTATAACCACCATTATACTTTCACGGTGAAAATGTTGGCAGCTGTTACACCAAGTCAGGGGCAACTACAAAACAGTCTGAGTTGGAGGTTATAGGATCTCAACTGCCACAAGGGAACAATTTTCTCCGACCAAGAGAGTTGAGAAATTCAGGGGGGATTGATCAGCATTTCCAAGGCACAGCCTTACTTCCCCAAGCTAGTACAAATATTTCACTGATAACCTAGGGCCTGGTTACTGATATCCACTAAGATAATCTGGTCTGGCATCCTGGAAGAAAGGGAAGATTAAATTCTTTCAGTATGACTTAATTTCATTTGACACCTGTAACTCTTTAGTTTGGTGTCTATAACAGTACTTCAAAATTATCTTTGAAAAATGCATCTGCTGACAGATCAAGGCATGGAGCTTAGAAACGGTTTTACAGTAACATCTACAAAGTGAACTGAATTCTTTGCTGTAATAGAAAATGTTTTTGTTTTGTTTATTTTTTCCAGACGAATTAAAGGTGAATTTATGTACATGTATAATGCAAAATACAAAACTATACATGTAAAACATTGCACAATAAAATGCAAAGAGAAACAGTCTGCAGATGGTTTGATAAGGTTGGATTCCATTCTCTCATCTGAAAAGCTTTCAGTTATAATTCTAAGCCCATGAATGTGCCACATACAGTAGGGGAAGTCCCATTAATTTTCTCTTTCACTCTTCTGTATGGTTCCACATTGCATTTTCACACATGGGAGCATTATGACTTCTCACACTTTGGAGCACCTACAGCCAAACGTTCACTGCGTCTCTTTCCTTTCTACACAAGTTTCAATCTAGACTTGCATGTTCTCGTGAGCGTCCCTCACTTCGCAGAGCAGAGCATGAATTCCTGGATTTGTGCCAAGTTTCTTATCACTTCTGGTCCACGTCTGACCAAAAGCAGATATGGCCAGACAACACGTTTGAAGGAAATGAAGAAGCAAATGACCAACAGATTTTTTGCTCTGGCTTTTTGTGCATATGACATTCAAACAATGCGAATGTGTTCACATCTGACCACATCTTATCAAAAGCTGATAATGGTGAAATGAACTTGATCATGCTAGTATGTTTGGCCTAATTTCTTGCACTAAAAGAAGAGTATTTCCGATGGAGGGCAAGAGATTTCTCTCTAATGGGAAACCTCTCAATATGTTTCTAGCAATACTTTATTTTAGACATGGATGGTGTGATGGCTACAAACTGATGGACACTACATCCTCTGACATGTTTCCTGCAGTATTTTTAGAGGCAGAAGATTAATTGATGGGCAAACTGTCAATAACATCCGAAAAATGATAACGGATCTTTTAATTGAATGCTTCCATAAATCAAATAGTTTCTATGACTGACTGCCAAGTTCTAGAAAGATGTGTTGCATGGTTCCCGGGTGAGGTGGTAACCCAGATGGAACAAACTCATCTGAAATAACTTGTGATGGGTTTGTTTCCTACTTTTCTATCAAATGTTAGTGCCATTCTGGGAGATAATCCGTCCAATTTCCATCCCTGAGGGTCGGAAATATTTCATCACTGAATCCAATTTCTCTCTTCCTGCTGAAAGAGGGAGATGTGAGATGGCAGGCATCCCTAAGGATTTCTCTTCAGAACTTCCGGCAGGAGACTAACTTCTCCGAGAAGTCACCGTGACAATCCCTCCTCCCAATTCCGAATGCAATACACCTACATGTAACAGAGAGATACGCCAATAGACAGGTTCCTTCACGGGGATGAATTCAGCTTGCATCTGATAAAAGCCTAACATGGACCTGGCAGTACTTACCGACAGTTTTTCTGTTATTAGTCGCGGCTTCCACATGGGCTTTGGGGTCATCGTTGAACAATGCCTTGGTGCTGACGGGCTGGAATGCCAGAGTAGCACCCTGACTGTTGTTTTGACTGGCATTCTGCATAGAACAATCAAGTAACCACAAAACAATAGTGATCACAAATTGGATAACATGACTGGATAACGACTTAACAACAATGTAGTTTCTATAAGTACATGTAGATTTCTGTTTTGTAGATTACAGAACATTTGGGCATGAAGAACATTACCAAAATTAGAGATACATGTACATGTACAACGTACATGTAATACTGCACAAAAACACTGTAAAAAACTATGCAGAAAAGAGTCAAAACTAAATTCACTTTGAATTTGCAAAATAAAAAGTATATACATGTATATAAATATACACTGTGCTTGTTTATGTACCTACATGTATGCTTTCTTCTGTTGGCAATGTGTATGAAAAACATACATGTACATGTTCTTTATGTAACATTATGATACTTAAGACATTACAGTCTGGCAAATACATGAACAGGTACCTGCACCAGTATTTAGGAAAGATACAAGAACTGTCATATGCTGATTGTGAAATTATTTCACTGAGAGTTGGAATATTTTATAAGCAATTTACTAATTCACTAATTGTGAACTTTAGAGTACAATGAGGTATTCTTGATTTTTTTTCTTTTGTCAGAGTCTGATGGAAGAAATCAGCTTCTGTTACAAGGAGGTACATATATATGTGAATAGAAACCCTACTGTCCAACCACCATATCACACCCTACCGATACACACATACATGTACATAGTAACAATGAGTTGAAAACACGCAGTGCCGTACATGTATTGCACATGTGCACGGCTATGTGTATACAATTTAACACGCGGCACACATGCAGATGTTTCGTAGTGTGGAAGTCATTCTGGGAAAATGGGTCAACGGCCTGTTGACCCATTAATGCACTGCTATGCTACTTCCACCTCTTGTGTTATCCAATCAAAGTGATTCTCCTCCTCATGGAGATAGGATGTGCTAATCAGCTTTACTTCACACTTACAATGGAGTCTTCTGGAAGGCACCAACAAACAGTGAGTTTACCTTTAGCCTATCCTTGCACTTTGCACAAGTCTGAACAAAAAATTAGCTCTGTTTCCGGTTATGCAACCTAACTTACAAAATCATGGATGCAGTTATTTCTTGTTTGGGCTAAGGGGCCTTACATGTACATGTACATGCACGACATAAAAAAGACTGGAAAAGTCTGTGGCCCAACACTACTGTACATTTCCTCTAGGTGAACACAAATGAATGACTGGCAACACGCCGACATGTACAGTACTGGTTTTGTAGGATAGACAATTAACATGTAAAATGTACATGTACATGTGCATGTATGAATGGTTTGTGGTAACATCCTGGAAAAAAATCTTTATTTTGAGTTGCCTGGCTTTGAGAACACACTGTAAATCATTCATTCCTGGTTCAGTTGAGTGCCCAATAAAAGGCAAAACCCACAAATCATGCTGTCAATGCCACACATACCAGGTCCCCGAACATGTACATGGAAATATGTAAGAACACTACGTGTACATGTACAAGACATTTACTCGTACTGGGTACATTAAAGCATAGTACATGTACACATGGACCACCTGTATACTCTACACTGCTTACATGTATGTACATGTACATATCGGTACATGTACATGCATGTACAGTACATGTACAGTACATGTACACCCACTCCTGCAGCGAAATTGTGGGGACATACACTCAACATTTCACCTATTTTGTGGGGACCGAAGAACATTGTGAGAACTCAGAAAGGTTCCAAAAACTTGGTTCAAATTTCCCTAACGAAAGAACTTGTCCCCTGAACGTGGTGAATGCCCACCCACCCATACCACTGGTGTGGAACTACCGATATCATCAGCATGGGTTGAACAGTACATGCAATTTTTGTCCCCACCATGGAGCCCTGAATTTCCTACAACTAATGAAGCCATCCCCTCAGCATAGAGCTGGACGGGGCTGTTTACTTTCTGGTTTGACTGTCAACAGTCATTTACAAATGTACCACCAAGCCGTCAATGTCATTCATGCTAGGACCACCCTGTCAGCTTGACTATCAGCTCTTATGCTGAGTCATAACCAACATCTTTCGGAGTTGACTGTACTCTCTCCACCCTCCTCCTCGACATCCACTCAGAAGATTTTTCACTCAATACTGCAGAATTCTTTCCTGGACTGTTCAGGTGTCTCAGTTGGCACACTGAGTCACCTCAGGGCATCAAGTGTGCCCTTAGTGCATGTCATGGTGCTACATGTAAAAACTGTCCATTTCTGCATTGGACAAGTTTGCTGCATCAACCAATGAACAAAACGAAATGAAAGAATCTTAGAATTTACATTCATTGTGCTGAACAATACAAGAGTCATCAGTCGGCAGTTAATTTCCACTGGACTCTGGCCATCTCAGCACAGGACGAAGATAGCTGATTTATTTCAGGATGAGAAACTGGTTATCAAACTAACAATCTAGTTGATTAAGTCAATTGTAAAATATAATACTAACCTGTGTCTCGATTCCCCTGCCCTCTTCAATTCGCTGCTTTTTCGAGCTGGATTTTTTCTTCCCGCTCTTCTCCACTGGATGAGAGCTGGGCAAAACATCAGTCCCATTAAGCACAACAGATGAACCCCCATTCTGCTGGGGAGTGTACTGCGGAGGGGGATTCTTCATTCCGCTGGCTGCCACAAAGCCCGGCGGGCAGTCCACCGCCACCTCCCGATGCATGCCCCTCTCCGGCTTGAGTGGTTGTTGCTCGGCCTGCACAACCATCTCGCTGGCATTCTCTTCGGATACTGGCTGCGAGGACTGGGTGGGCTCGTCTAGCTTCTCGAGAGCCTGCGGTGATAGCTCCACCGGAGCGATGACGCTACACTCAAGTGCAGGTTCGTCCACCACTGCCCCCTGGCCGTTATAATCTGGGTACTCGTACGACCTCACACTCTCTGTGTCCTCAATGTTTGTAAACGGCTCAACGGCAGCACTTGCTGTCACCGTGTTTACGCCATTGTTCTGCAGCCGCAAATCGGGTAAGCTCTCTGTGCTGCTGCTGTAAGCCTCATTCTGAATACCATTCAATGTGCCAAAATCGACCTGCGATTTTTCCCCACTGATTGTCTCGGCCTCTATCTCGGGCTCCGCGATGAATCCACTGTTCACAGAGGGCACACCTGTGTCGGGCGAATAGAGATCCTCCTCTTCTGCAGGTGGGTATGAAAAACCGTCGTCAGTTGTGTAACTGGGCTCACTGTAACCATTGATTACATCCCCGGAAGCATTGGTAAGTGGTGGTAATGTGGCCAGGTCCACAGTATTGACATAGTTGTGACGGGCAAGTTTAGCTATCTTGTCTTTGGCCTGCTGTTCTACAGCAATGACGTAAGCTTCTTGCACTTGCTTCTTCTCTTGGTCTGGTTCTCCTGCAGAAAAAAAATCAGACTTAATAGTTATTCTTAAAAGATAGCTGCAGCAATACTCTTTGACGTTATACCGGGAGAGACTGGCAGTGAAAAGAAACTATTTCAATATTTCCGCACATTTTTCCACCAAACTCCAATGTACATAAAAAGCACACTGGACATGCCGAGAATCAAAACATCAAAGTTATCCAACCATCTGAATTATTTGATAGTGTTCTATACCTGTACCTACACGTACCACTGGATTAGAATGCAGCAAATAAAATGCATTATTACACTGCACTAAGTACCAGTACAGCCAAACCTTTTCTGAACCGTTTCGTGAAAGGTTACCACCAGCGGCAGTGTCTGAGATTGCAGTGACTGCATTCTTAAATTAACATGGAGTCAGCAAGATTTAGGGCATGTTGATGAAGGAGACATGGCCTATCATGTCCGTCTCCTCACTGCTTACATCACGTAGGCTGCATGAACAGATCAAGTCATCCATGTTCAAATTACATGTACACTGACAAGTGACAGTCTGCTGAGGGAAATCTGATTGACAGCAAAGTTCTGCTTACCAGCGGGGATTGGAGTTTGCACTCCGACATTGAACCAGACCGTCAAGAATCTTGAGCCCTGGAGGCCCATCTTCCCCCACACAGAATCACAGTCCACTACTACAAATCTGTACAAACTACATGTACTTCCAAAGATTCTGATCCCATCCAACAGGGGAAATGAGGCAAAGATAATGTTCTCGCCGAGCCAGCCAACTGACCTAACAGCTTCAGGAAGTCAAAGTGGTGAGATTCAATCCCGATTTAGCATAAAAAGTGAGTAAGAATCCTCGGAAGGAATCTCTAAATCCAACTTCTCTGTCAAGTGACCAGTGATGTGTGAGATGTCAGACGAGAAATCGACAGCGATAAGAAACCCTGGGGGACGTGAGTCAATGACTATCCTGAAAATTCTAGGCAACCAAAACAAGCACAGCGCTGCAGTAAACATTGGTTTGTGGTACAAAGTGGTTACACATGCCTGTCAGCAAGTGTCATCTTTTATTATGAAAATGCTGTATTTCTCTAGAGTTAATTTGAAAGACGAGACTGACACAACTCAGCACAAGTGTACAGCTTCTACATGTACTGTTTATGAAAAGAGAAAGAATACACGGTGTGGTGCACTGTATAACATTGTACAGTGAAACTATATACAAATGCATGTATGTACATGTACTATCGTGATGGGCTTACATACATATAAGTACATGTATACATGTACCGTATTTCACAGAGATGATTTGTGTAAATGTACATACGTGTACAATGTGCATGCCCACCCAAGTTATCCCTAAAGTGATGGTAAGCTCAGGGCATGTACATGTAATCTGTATACATCTCTTTAACAAGTTGAGATTTTTAACCTCAATATTCAATAACTTATAATGTACATGTACAGTACTAGTCCTTCATACCTGTACATGTACATATAAGTAGATGTATATATCATACAAAAAACACAAACAAGTGGTTTGCAGCATTTTGAAGTTTCAGGCTTCCAGAATTGAGACCAAATCACTGTTGCCTTGAACTGGGCTTGGCAATCCAATTAAATTGTGCAACCATAGCCCCTGTTGTTTAAGTGGAAATGCTACATACTGTACAGGTACCAATTGTGCATGCAAATACTGAAACATTTTTGGTGGTACTGTATGAGGGCACACTGTAAGGTTAAAGAATGTCCTGAAGACTTTTTTACCATGCTACATGTACTTACATATACATGATTACATACCATACACTGTCCAGTGTACATGAATGTGCATGTACATTGTACATTGGATACAGTGGCCACATGTACATGTAGGTGTACTCTTGCTTCATGTACAGTACATGTAGCTGAACTGTTCTGGAAGTAAAGACTTCTAAGACATGTACAAGGACCTCCCTCAACCTTCAAAATTTCCCACTACATCACTACGCAGGAAACCAACCTTCTCCTTTCCTGCAAAATCCTTCAAAATCTTCTGATGGATTTTTGAGAGACCTACATGTCAAAGGATTAAGCTGATTAAGCTGTTTGTTTCACACATCAGTTTCAGACATCAATGATCCAGTGCTGGTTTACTGACACCAAACCCCGCTTAATGGATAGAACAAACCAGCTACCGGTACATGTACATACAAATGTACTCGTAGTTTGGAATCACTCAGCGAGATCCAGATGAACAGGCCCCCAATATTGTTACATGTTTCAGACAGGAATAAAAGTATGTTTGAAAATATAAGTCAAGCCTGCAGACATAATATTTAAGTCAACCAAAGCTGCTGCCTCAGCTCATGTGACAAACAAGGAACAACAGAATTATCCAATATCCCATACTTGCATAACATGTACACGCCTTGCTTGGTTTCTATCGGAAACCATTGTTTACGGGACCTGGCTATATACTACACTTTACCTGGGCCCCTAGCCAGCCAGGTGAGTCCTACATGTAGTTGGTACAGTAGTACCTAGAAACATGACTGCATGGGTACTAAAATACATGAAAATATGTTGAAGGGTACGGGTACTTGAGAGCAAGAACTGTGCAAAGACCCAGAATCAGTAGGTTTCACAGTCCTCCATGTTCCTGGATGCGCTGTGGCTACCTACATTGTGTACAAGTACAGTTTATGTAGGCTAGTCCGCTATGGATTTTTCGTTTATCAAAACATTCTGCCATTTGGTATGAGCAGCCAGACTTAGCTTAGTTGTGGTAACTTTGCTTCGAAAGGCATTTGTTCCGTTAGGTTACATGAAATTACATGTACACGTACACATACATGTACTGTAGCAGGCCTACATGTACATGTACTTGGTTGCAGGTCTAACGTACAATGTATTTCAAGTTTTCAACAGCTGTGTGAAATGTTATTTTACTACACTTCACGCATATTCATGATGGAGAGCCAAATTTTCATTGGACCATTCACCATCATGAGCTGCCTGCCATTTGTCTGCCATACCAAACACTTACATATATATGCAAGCTTTCACGCACTAAGTATTTACGCATGCCCAGATAAACTAGTTACCCACGTGCAAGTTCATCTGGGCTAGGATGCGCTTTATGAGAAAATTGAGAAACACATGCATTCACGTACCAGGGTACATGTACATGTCCCCGTACTATGTACCATATGCATGCATGAACATCATTCTAGCTACATCCATGCACATGTACATTACTGGTGCATGTGTACCTGTAAGTGCTACCACATACATGTACAGTACACAGGAAAAAATGACAGCACATGTACAACACAGAAATGCAATAACTGTATTTCACAAATGTTAAAACATACATGTACACGAATGTGCTATAGCAAAACCTGTATTTCACACTGGTTAAAACATGTACATCTATTTGCCATAGTAAAAACAAACATAAAATGGTTTATTCGGTTGAGTAGTCAACATTAGCTCCCCTCAGTAGTGGAAGTTGTCAAGCTACATGTACATGTACACTGTAGTTCTCTAAGCTTTACCTATAATGTACATGTACCGGTACATGTAGGGAACTATGCAGCTTCTCAGCTTCCAATATGTCAGCAAGCTAATATTGACTATCCAACCTCTGTTCAATTTTGTACATATGTATGTTCCCACAGCTACTGAACGTTTTATTAATATTCTTAACGTATTTTTGGTTCTCTTTAACCAGATACATGTAACCTGTCACAGTATTCCAGTGACATAAGTCATCTACCGGTATTTCTTTTTTCAATCGTCTTTCGGTCAAAAGGATTGACTGCAAATCCTAACAAATGAGGCAATTGAATGCAACTGTTACAAATATTCAAATGTCCACTGCACATGTACTGCTCCTGTATGCTGCACAGCCTGGTAACCAGAGTTGAACTGCACTTTTTTTTCATCACATACTGGAGGGGGGCTAATTTAAGGATTCATTAAAATGTGACATGGTCCAAGGAACAGGATGAATAGCGCCAGGACAACTGCAGTTGGCAGGCAGCCTTGGTTGCCATGGAAACCAATGGGTGTCCCGACAACATCTTCACACACATGTATGCACGACTGGTACTTTACAGGACTGTTACATGCCCACTACATATACATGTACATGTAGATACATGTATATGGGTACCAATTGTATGTGTGCTGGTACATGTACATGTACAATGTAGGCCTCAGCCGAATTCTCTTGTACAGGTACACGATACAATGATGATACAATGCATCAACTGGGCCTATTGTTGGCTCACAAGCAGTTTGACTGAAAAGACATCATTCCACAGTGTCCTCTGCATTATGAAAATCACCACTGCAAGTCCAAGCAGCTAACTAGAATTGTGCATAGGGTAATTGGCACTGGAGTATACAATCAATGTACATGTAAAACATGCCAGTCTCGTTTTTATGAGCACCTGTAGAATTCCCTGAGAAACACTGCCCGGTGACTGCAGTTTGAAAGCTCAATGATACAAAGTTTTTCTGGTCTCGCACAGAAAGCACGCACATCTGTATTAGTGCATGTACCTGTGCATGTATACATGTATGTAAAGTACGTGTACATACCATGTTGGTTCTGCTAAAGCAGGGAGGAATAAAAAATACATGTACTCATACCTACATGCACTACATAGGGTACGAACACCTCCGAGTCAACTCACTAAGCCCAAGCAAACATTTCCCACTTCACATAAATTTGTTCAAATTTACGAAATTGACATTAACACCAGACAGCCACCTGTAGGAATTATCAATTCACATCAATCACTGAACTGACAGCCAAGTTATTAATTCAATCCCCCTGATCATCTGCACACACAGTGACTGGACTCCGGAGTAATTGACTGTAAAATGCTGGCTTGATCCGACAGCTTTATCCAGCTAAAACGTATGGCTATAGCGGATTTACTGAAGGGCAGTGAAGGATTAGATCACACAACCCCTGGGATACAAACAGATGCTAGTATACATGCACTGGTAAATGTACGTATCGGTAAGGC